GAAGGGGCCTGCCATTGTCTGGGGCTGATTAAGTCGATGGTTAATGTATCCTCCTTTGAAACTTACTAATGTTTTCCCATTTGTACTTCTTGCCACTGTTGTTGACTTTTCTGTAATTGTTGGAGACTTTCTTCCTGTTTCTTTTCTTTTCCTCCAACAACGGCTGTAATTTATCTTCTTGTTTCTTTTCTTTCTCCTCCAACCACTGCTGTAGTCTCTCTTCTTGTTTCCTTTCTTTTTCCTCCAACAACTGCTGTAGTCTCTCTTCTTGTTTCCTTTCTTTTTCCTCCAACTGCTGCAATCTCTCTTGTTTATTTTGCTGTTCGAGCTGCCATTGTTGTAGGTTTTCTTGCCACTGCTGTAATCTTTCTTCTTGTTTCTTTTCTCGTTCTTGTATTGCTGCCATCAAATCTGCTAAGCTGTAGTTTGATTTGCCACTTCTCGTTTCCATTTTTTTCCCGTCCCACTCTCCGACACCAATTTGTTACGTCTCTGTGTCGTTAGTTAATTTTCCGTAAAAATTCTTTCCGAAGAAACTTTAGAGATACAAATAAAATTAAATAAAACTAGTTTATTCTTTCTGAATACAACTTTGCAATACACTTAATTTCCACAGTCGCGCTATAACAAACGCTATGATTCACAACGAACGTCTCACGCATATCTAGTAGCCTCTCGAGACTTCAGGAAGGGACGTGAACGTTCGAGAATATGACGCGTTACTAGTCACGTGACCCCCGCTGTCGTAACAACGTCATTTATCAACCAATCATGGCATAGTTAAAGCAAACTAGCAAACGTAATCTATTTTCCGGCGACGGCTAAATAACCACCACCTTTTAGTTTTGTGGTTTTGATTTTATAACGTCATTAATTATCACTCAAGAATCATTAAATTATACATACCCATGATACGCAACTCCAGTTTATAGTGGACAAAGGGAACGTAGAGAATCAGTCCCGACACAATGAACAACAATGCATACAAATATTCAATTTGGGGTTGTTGAATAATTGGAGCTAGCACCAAATAGGCCGATATAGCCATAACAACAAAGGGAACGACTAGCGGTACCTTGAAGAATAAAACAACAAATAATTACATGATCGTACAAGAATGTTGACTATGTGTGGTTATATCTTACGAAAATTATTTTGAAAACTCATAAGAAAAGACTAATGATAAATTCTTAACAAGTATGTTTAGTTTAGGCCTTAGTTTACGTATTTGCAAATTTTCTTTGTTACGTAGACTATCATTTAATACGGATAAAATCTTGAATGTAGATAAGCTTGTTGCTTTGTTATCTCGTTTAGCATGGCCTTTAATAATAGATTTTTTTTGTCACTTAAGGTATTTTAATGCTCTTACACGTACTTTTAGCCATATGGTGGTATACCCCATCTATCCAGAGCCTAGATTTTGGTCCCAAAATCACTTAAATCTATTTATGGATAAATTATACGAAAAACCTTTATAGTTGTTTCTTCACTAACGTCGCATGTTATAAAATGACAATTATAATTATTTAAATTCGTTAGGGGGAATAATACTTGAGTTATAATGCTATGAAATCAGTCTTTAATATTAATTAAACCGTATCTGCTGTTTTGAGACATTTGAGATCATAATGTAGACTACAAAATTTCTTAAGATTTAAGGGCAGAATAACGTCACTAATAATATCAAATGTTATGTATTTAAATGTCGTAGGTGCTACTCTACATACTCTACAAGAACATTCAAATTTTCTAAATGACAAAAAATCGAATATGAAATATTACTTTGTTCGAGATTGTGACAGTAGCACCCTCATCTACGTAGAAGATGCCATTCAATTGCAATGATGAGAGAAGTTATGTATTAAAGAGACATTGTTAATTCATAAATCTAGGCCCGAATTAAACGGAACCAGTTCATTAACGGATTTACTCTGGGTGTGTGTGTGTGTGTGTGTGTGTGTGTGCGCGCGCGCGCGTGTGTAAACAAAAACATGCTTTAAATTAAAAATAACTGTTAGAGTATAAGTATGTAGAATGACAGTTAAAATATATACCTTATAAGGCCGAGCTATGTCTTTCTTCTTCCAACGCAAAACCACTAGCGCCGTCATGGTTGCTCCGTAAAACAACCATGCTGTAAAGCTGAAGAAGTCTATTAAACTCCCAATATTGCCTGGTATTATCATACAGATCGCCAAAATAGCCTGTTGATTGGAACATAGCTTTCAATTAATTTTTTACAAGTAACATACAATACCATTAATTTAAATCCTTAGGTAACAAATTCATCAAATTTCTTATATAGAAATTATGAAATATCTTTCGGTACATTAATGGAGTTAAGTCCTTTTCAATTACCAATACAAATCACCGTTATAAGAGGCCTAACTGTATTTCTTTGATTTTCCAGTTGTGCCGATGAGCTTTCAATAGGCGAAACTTGCAGCCCACAGCAGTGGGTATGGCCAATCAAGGAAAACATTAGGCCTCTACTTCACGGATTCGCTTTTCAGTTTTTCCTTTGGAAGAAAAATCTGAAACATATATATGTAATCATCTTTCACTACACTAGAAAAATTACAGTATGTTGCTGGTTCACTGTAGAAAGTTACCTTCCTCGTTATTATTATCGAGACTTGTAACTTTTTTTTTTATGTAAGCGTCAAAGGTGAAATTATGTAATAAAAACCTAAACAGTTCGTATTTCAGAAGCTAACAGTACCGCTTCTCAAAACACAGCAGAAAGTTCACGAATATATTTCATTGACTTATAGATATATTTTCGTCAATATTACAGAGCACCTAAAATACAATTAACTGTAGTAGCAAGTCTTTTGCCACTATCAAGACAGAAATTATAGTTACCTTTTTACAGTTTAGCAGTAAACGTGTTTATTGTTACGTCACCAGAAAACGTGATTCTATTTTAATATAACCTATTAAAAAACAATTGAAATATTTCTTTTTATAGAATTTAAACAAAACTAGCTAGTTAGATACACACAAAATGGTCTTTCAATTTTCTGTGTCATGTAAAAAACATGTTTTTATTAATTCAAATTTCTAACTGTTATTAAAACTTTCGAGTTTGTTAATTCTGAAAGAAAAATGTTTTTGTTGCACAGCGTCAAGGATGTACATTCAACAAAGTAACAATTTTTCGTAACAACTGCCACAAAGCGGGTAATTATGACCAGAAGTAAACAAAATATGTTACAAAAACCTTCGATGCTCAGTGATTATAAATCTTACATTTGTTATTAAAGCTGGTGATGGTGTAAAACGACGGATGTGCACGTATGATAAAATTCCCACCAGATGGCCTTCTCTTGCAGCAACAAATGTTAACCTGAAATATAATGTAGTGATTATTGAGACTTTGAATATCAAAAGTTACTTTCTTCAAAGCATTCTCCAAACGCGACTTGTCGACAAAATTGATTTAAATCATCAGATAATCTAATTAAAAAAACGATAAAAAACAAAATTCTTTAGATAAAGCACAAAAACTTTTAGTAAACGAATGCTTAAATTGAAAATAAAACAGTAAATGAATTTTATTAAACACTGAAGAATCGCCTAATACATAAACAACCTAACAACTTAATTGCCCCAAAATTCGTTTGTACAAGTCTTCTTTAGGTTTAAGTTTTGTTACTTTATGTTAAAACTAAAAAAGAAAATTCTGAAAAATTTCGAGCTACTGATATTCAATTAACCCCTTTTTTTAATATGCGATAATCACTTTAAAATGATGTTCCCGATTATTTTATTTTCATTGCTTTGGGTTTATACAGTACGCCAAAATTCATTTTGAACTTTATTGTATCTTTGTGATTGTTGCCATTTTTAGCCAATTTTTTCTTTCGTTAATCTACTCTCATCATTGTCGTGTCTTTTCATACACACAGCTAAATTCAGATAAAATAATTTTAGCACACTTTGATATGCGGTAATTCTGTCATGAATCGTTTACAGTAATTTCACCGTCAACAAAATATTCCTTAAGTTATTCAAGTATACAATAGGATAATAAAACAAAACAAAAAAACTAACTTGAAGCAGGCAGGAATACGTAACTATTCGAGTGCGACAGAGAGGTAAGTTTTGGTTCTTTACCGTACATTGTAAGCAAACAGAAAACCACATTTTAGAGTTGGAACTAATGTTACGCATTTTTGGAAATTTACAAAAATATACGTTTTATGATATGGAAGAAAGCGGAACGATTCATTTGTATGTTTTCACTATTTATCGCCACTAACCAATTGACAGTACAATGTGATAAGGTAGATTCAATAAAATTTAAACGGTCATCACCACACTGGTTTTTCCATTTAATTCATCATTGCTTACGTTATAAGATTTTCAATACTTTTACTAGTTCATGTTGTAAATCGTATTGTAATCAGAAGTCTGTTTACCTTCACTAAATGTTGTATTTTAGCCTATTTTATAGTAATTATAAAATTAATTTTTTCATTTCTCACTATAGTAATGTTGACTTAACAAGAAACACATACCTGCCTGTCGTAAAATCTGTTCCATTTCCAGCTCCAAAAGTGGATATAGCTATTGTGAGTGGCATAAGAAATGCCATGACTCCCAATACACGAGATGCCCAAGTCTAACAGCAATTAAAACAACATATGTACTTAAGTATTAACAAGGCTAATACTGTTTTGAGCTTTCTCTATTACACCAGAGCAGCTTCATAGTGTAAATAGTTGTTTCTGTATTTATATTAAAAATCCATTCCAATGTATATTAAAATCATTATCTTTGTATATCGATAGACGTCACTAAATGTCATTCCCCTACAGTTGGGGCAATATGTGTGTATCGACTTGGTTTAATATATATATTCACTACTTTGAAAAACACCAAATATATATGTACATAAACACTTAGCTACAAAAACATAAAGTTAATAAATTGCTGCTATAACTATTTAATCCATTATGAGCAAATGGATGTATTATATGAACAAACAAACCATTTAAGTAAAATTATTTTAAGTGCAACAGTATCGACAGTAAATAATATCCAGGTATGATGAAAATAATAAGATGACAACTCCAATGTTTCAAACATAAACAATACTTTATTCTATATATAGTTAAAAGCAAGGAAAAAAAGCTAAAAAACTCTACATGTTTTCGTAGAACTATCAGTTGAACAAATAATATCCAGGTATTGTTTAAAAATAAATAATATCCAGGTATTGTTTAAAACACGTGTAGTGTATTTTACAAAATATATGTACATCTCAACTATTTAACTTTAAATACGCTTGCACCGCAGTTTATTTCTTAAACACTACACCAACAATATTAACGAAATCGTTTTTACCATTGCTACGGCTTCCGAAGCAAGGACCTCTGTTGTTGACATTACAGTTAAATAAGATATGTTGATAAGGACGTAGCAAACAGTAACCAAGGGGATCCCAAAGTAGATTGCTCTTGGCAGGTTCCTAGGTAGAAAGTAAAATGGATCATGATGAAAGTTATACACGCTGAGGTTCACAAATAAAGATCGTAGAAAATACTAGAGATATAATAATAGTTTCAGACTAAGTAATTGATTAATAATCAAACATCGTAGAAGAGTCACACAGAATTGCAGTGTGATCTGTGTAATTAGAGAAAACCTTACATACGCATAGGTAAAAGAAATTAGTTCTAAAGGGTATCGAGTGCCATTAGTTATCTTGTTCAACCAGCCTGAGAACTCGCCCTATCATTTAAGCTATACAGCAGTGTAAAAAAGCGCTTAAGGATTGTTGGAAGCAGCTAAATATTTTCAGTTTGAGAAGGTGATTTAGAGTCATGTAAGTACATAAATAGTATAATATCAATATATGTAAGGCACACAATTATGTCAGCTGTTATGGTTTATGCGTCAGCAAGTCGTACTAACTTTGAACACATGTCGATCGAAGGTTTGACGATTTTGCTTTTTCAATGCATTGCATTTATCTCTGTACCAAGTAGAGAGGATATTGCGAGTGAAACGAGTTTAAATTGATTTCTTGTTATACTCGGTCTTCGCTAACACTTAGCTCTCAAGAATGTCGAAACATTCGGTCACACGATACCGTTAGACATAAAACTGTCAGTGGAATCTAAAGTGGAGTTGGTTTTGTATACTTTTGCGTAATGCTGCTTGAAAGAGGCTGTGAACACTTAAAGTTTTCCGCCTCAATAAGGTTATTGATGCAATTGTGCATATAGTTTCTATATAACTACTCCAAACCCCATGAATAGTGTTTAAAAAAAAACGTTAATATATTTTTGCTCCACATTATTTCCCCTTCAATTGTTCAATATTGAAAGTGTACAATGGAGTAGCACCATGGGGACCCAAGGTGGGTACCAGGCCCCCTTAAACATTTTTTTAAAACCTAGTTGGAATATTTCGATTAAATTTTTGTAGGCTGGGGATATTTTTTTTTTTTTATATAGTGAATTAACTTATACAGTAAAGTTTCAAACTGACTATTTAAATCTATATGATAGCGACATTATTTAACTGTAAAAAATGGAGAAATAAAAACGAAATAAAGTTTGGACCTAATTCCACAATATGGCCAAAGAAATTATGGCCGTTTTGCTATATCTGGCCATTACACCCGACTACAGGTTTCCCCACCCCTCCCATTGGCTCAGCGGCAAGCCTACGGATTTATACCGCTAAAACTCGGGTTTAATTCAAACTTTCAAATTCATTTATGATCTCTTCGTCGAGTGAGAAAATTTTAATATGGACGTTTCGATAAATATAACAATGTGGAACGTTTTCGTTATAATTATTCATATGTTCAGGTATAATTATTTAATTGATACCACACTTTCAAACTCCCGAAAGAATGTTTGCTATTGTGAAACAGTTAAACCAATAACCGGTAATTTTAAAGAAATCAATAATTCCTCTGCTACCGATTGATTAGATCACCCGTGACAGGCAAAATTTTCAATTACTGTTTTTCTTTAATATACTTTTAAAAAATGTTTATTTGGTTATTCTTTGCATTATTTATATTCTGTAATATTACATATTTTTCTCAGGTTTCTAACGTTAAGTCGATCTAGTAAGCTTATATCCCTGCTTCAGTTCTAACATTAACTCGATCTAATAAGCTTGTCCCTTCATCTGCTTTAGTTCTAATGCTAACTCGATCTAATAAGCTCATGTCCACCAATTGCTGCAATTTTTATGTTAACTCGATCTATAAACTTGTCTTCCTGCTGCTGAATGTTCTGTAAACGTCACATGCAAATGAAGAACTTGATTACTTTGTGATACCAATTGACATAATTTCATGAGATACCTATATCAGATGCGGACCTATCCAATCGAACTTGGACTATTACCCTAAGACTAACTAACTTCAATAATACAAAGGGATGTTTCACCTCATTGGTTTATTTCAAGTCCCTAGTTGGACTATAATAAGTTCAAAGATGCTGCTATGTGTTTTTGATGTTGTAAATGACATTAAAAAAGGTAGAGAACTATTCCATCTCCCTGGAGACAACACAACTGTAGCAAAAAAAAAAAGTTGTTTTTTTGTTAGCTACTTCAGTGAAGTGAATAAGTAACCGAATATTTACTAGATATGGTAGTGTAAAAATGTGCAGTGAATTGCGAAATCGTTTTGAAAGGCATGATCTTTTATTTGATAATCTGCGTGGCCAAATATATAATGGCGGTTTTATTATATCTGGCCATTTCACCCGACTACAGCTCCCCCACCACTCTCAGTGGCTCAGCTGATTTATATGCTAAAAATCGGGTTTCGATACCCGTAGTGGGAAAAGTACAGATAGCCCATTGTGTAGCTTTGTGCGTAACTACAAACAAGCAAACCCGGACTACAGGCACATTAATTTTTTTTGTTCCAAAGACATGTAATGTGCACTGGCTGGTATGGCGTTTAAATGTAGTGGTTGAGGACACATGTATGAGGAACAAAAGGACAAGAAATGTATTTGGGGCAGTCCACAAACTTTCATTTATTGAAAACAGCATAAAGCGACATTACTGATGTTACTTAGTAAGAACCTCGCACTAGGAAGAGTTCCTGTATATTGGATCTACATTTAAAACCTTAAGTTATATATTAATTGACAAATATCGTTATCGAGTCGTATCTTTTATGAAGTATTGGACTTTATAGTGAATGCTCTCAGAATTCGATTTCCTAAAGTCGATTGATTGTTCAGTGTTTCTACTTGCAGAGAAACACTTACGTTTGTTTGTTTTTGAATTTCGCGCAAAGCTACACGAGGGCTATCTGCGCTAGCCGTCCCTAATTTAGCAGTGTAAGACTAGAGGGAAGGCAGCTAGTCATCACCACCTACCGCCAACTCTTGGGCTACTCTTTCACCAATGAATAGTGGGATTGACCGTCACATAATAATACCCCCACGGCTGAAAGGGCGAGCATGTTTGGTGTGGCGGGGATTCGAACCAGCGTCCCTCAGATTGCGAATCGAGCGCTCTAACCACCTGGCCATGCCGGGGCAACACTTATGTTTCAATCCTTGGTCGCCTTCTATGTAAGTGATGTTAAGTGCGAGCTTCTGGTTTCTGAATACACGTTTCCTCGATAAGTTGCAGAAGTCGTGATGGAGGAGGGGGTGACAGATGTGTCCAAACTTTAGCTCTCTTTATCGCCCGATTCTAACTAAGTCACACCTTGTTCTTGCAGGTGCTTCTTCTGAATATTGAAGCTTGTCAAGATTAATATTCGTAGCACCATGGCAGAGCAATGTCTTGATGGTGTTGTCGGTTGGCTCAGAAACGAGTGAAGTCCATCAAGATACATGTTATTCATGAAGTTTCAGGAATCACTTTGCTGTTGAGTTTCGTTAAAAAAAATAGTTATCAACTTATCTTTTGCATGATGTTTTTACTGCATATATTGTGTTCACACGCTGATGTTTCATGTGTAATTACAATAGTACTTGACACACATAGATACATACGGAATATTTTGGATTACACACAGATGCCTGCTTTTATTCAACGACCTGTTACTTTGTGAAAAATCACGCAACTATTACATATATTTAACTACAGATAACCTATGAAATACTTTCACATTTATTGTTGATATTGGTAGACAAATCTATGTTATTGAGTATTTGCCTCACCCCCACATTTTGCGGGTGCCTTACGCCCCTGCAAGTATAGTCTTAAAAGTTTATTATTATTATTTGCTCCATTAACGAGGGATAACTGCTTAATTAAAAAAAACTAATCACTCGCTACTCTTAGACTTGGCTGGTCGCACCTGGTTTCTCTACAAATAATGTAACTAATTTTACTGGAATTTTAATATTTCTTTGAGGTAACCAGAGATTCATAGGAAAGACGACATTTTTCCAACTGTTCATAGCAATGTATTGGTCCATAGCTCATATGCTCATGATATGCATTTGGGATAGTTATACAAAAACGAGAGTGAACTTTAAAAATATTAACTTACAAGACAAAAATTGAACACTTACACAAAAGGATTTACCAATTCTTCTGTGATGTAGTTCAGGTTGTTCCTAATGCATAAAATTGAAATAAGTAAATAAAACTCAACAAGTTGAATATTAAAGCTTCTTTTAGAATTAAACTGTTAACAATGCACAGGGAGAACGAATAAAGTCCGCGTCTACCCAAAAAATTGTTAAAATCGGTAGACTTACTGGCGTATTGTTTAACAATAATCTTAATATATTGAACAATAAAATTACAACTATTTATACATCATTTTGACGTCGTAATTAAAATAGCTACAGAACTGAATAAGGTCTCTTTTCAAATAATTCTTTCCATATTTCACATTAGCTTATCTAGTAAAACAGTGACGTAATATCAGTAAAATCCTCCCGATATGAGAATTAAGACAAAATACAATAAGAGCTTAATATAATTGACTAAGGGAGCTGTTATCAATAACTTTTATTCTAATACAGTACAGATTGTGCGATTAAGTTGAACGAATTATCGATTGTTTTGTTTCTAGATTCCAAACTTTAATTGGTGTCTCAAACAATTTATTATCATTAAAGTTGTGTATCTTTAGTGTTTGATTTCTGATATTCGTACAAAGCTACTCAAGGACTATTTGCACTAGCCGTCCCTAATTTTGAATTGATAGGTTAGAGGGAAAGCAGCTAGTCAACAGTACCTACCGTTAGCTCTTTGGCTACTCTTGTTTGATCGAATAGGAGACCGCCACCCTTATAACGCACCCACGATAACGAGTCACGTATGAGGTACCTCCAGATCCATAGTCCGGCACTCTTAACTACTAGGCCACTAGCTTTAATGAAGTAACTATAGATGACGTGTTATTAGATATAAATGCATAACCATGGATTAATTTGAAGCTTCAATGAAGTGACTATAGATAACTTGACCATAGGCGCCCGCAAGAAGGGGCAAAGGCGGGGTCAATTTTCGAAAAGAAAAAAAAATACTAGATATGTAAAATTATTCTTTATGTTATTGGAAAATAAGGTATTTGTAATTACAGGGGTATTGACCCCCCTATTTTTTTTTCTGCGGGCGCCCTCGAACTTGACGTATTGTTACGGATATATGTATAAGCACGTATTAATTTGAAGAGTTATTGTTACTTGTTAATCAAGACGCGATAGTTTTAAAATTTAAATTGGTAGAAAAAAGTGGGGCATTTTTTAGCTTTGAATGATTAGAGCAGGTTGTAGGGCGAACCTCCTATGTTTTTTACTGATTAATATTCCCTACGTTACTTATTAATTGCTCTTAGTTAAATAGTCACGCATTAAAGTATTTTGTGAGTAAGTAACAACGACCATGAACAACTTATCAAACGATGAATGTGATATAATTGAACTTCATAAAAGTTGCCTTTATGCAAGTTTGATGAGAAACTAACAATGCTCGTCAATAGCTTTCTATTGTCCTATATACTCAATAACCATTTGCAACTCGCAAGTGAATCATATTTCATAATAAGAATAACATTAAAACTTAGTAATTCATGAGCAACGTATTCGTATTAAATCGATAACACCTCAAAGATAAATTGTATAAACGATCATTTGAAATAAATAAATAGGAAAAATATGTAACTTAGATAGCTAGTATACATTCATAACACTAGTTTCAAATAGTGTAAATGAATAGAAAATTACACTTAGGGAGTCTTACAAAAGACATGTATTAGTTTGACATTTATTACGCTTACAGGTCGAAGTTGGTGATACTGCAACAAAAGCAAAAACAAAAGTTGACAAAAGGTAGCCAAGTAAAAATAAACTTAATGAAGCTAAACGGTTGGTTTACGAAGACTTTTTTTTTTGCCAAGTGTTAATAATTTAAGAAAAACAAATCTTAACATTCTGTAAACAACGTCGACACGACCTCATTGCAAATCTATCATACAAATCAAATGAAAATGAATACACAGGTTGGCCTGTTATATTAAAACGATTTTGGGAGTTCAACCAAATCGTTATTCATGTAACATCGTTCGGGTTTTTCTGTCGTACCTAGATAAAAACAATAATTAAGCAATTATAAATTGATAGGTACTCGTGTCAAACTCAAAGCTAACAGTAACCAGATAACTAACAATAACATAGTGCTACTGTGGCAGATTAAACTGAAATACCGAAGATTAAACTGTTATATGAAATATTTTTAAATAAATCAAGTACACAAACAAAATTATTTTCACTAAATGATATAAAGAACAATATATTGCTATAATAAACTAAAAAATAGTAGGAATGTTACCTAAAATATTTTACTTAACATGCGTAATTAACGAGAAGGATATGATAATAAGAACAGAATTTGAACGATCGTTTCTCTTAAGTCATGCGTATGTGCATTGTTGCCAAAAGATTGCTTACGTTAGACTAAAGTGCTTTAGTAAAGTTAGAATTTTTTTTTCCAGTTTCATGATGAGAAATATAATTTAGAAGGTGAAACATCATTATAGCACAACAATTTTATTGAAAAAGAGTGAAAATGTAGCATTTATAAACTTTACGAGATCTATTTTTCTGCGTGATAATACATTTTCTTCGTCTGAGGAGAGTTACCACACACCAGTCCAATAGAGGTGTTGTTAGGTATGACTGGAAAGCTAAATCGACGTAACGATTTCCCGTCGTTACAATCCATGTCTAAATCTGTTCGTGCTCTATTTGATGACTGAGCAAATTGACAATATCCTTGCAACGAAGTTTTGATTACAAAACCTCCGACATAAGGTTGACACGTTCAAAGCACACCACTCTTCCCTACATGTTTTACGTAATCTATCTAGTGTAAGAAAACGACGCATTTCCAGTGAACGTTTCAACAGTCAGATCGCATAGGCGTTGCGTTCGGCGAAATGACCAGTATGTATTCCTGTGGAATAGCATGAATATTATTTTATTCTCCAACTGTTTGAGATATGCGAAGGTTGAGTGGATATGTCGTGGAATCAACTCGTGTACATGCGACTTGTGTTGCTTTCCCAGACGGAGATCCTTTTTGATTGTGTTGCGTACTGTTGCCCGAGTCACGTAGATGGCTTTTGCCCGTGAATGTGGATTCTCACCTGTTACAAAACGCTGCATTTTGTTCAAGCTATTATTTAATTGTCTCAGATCGCCAAGATATTTATTTTATTTAAAAAAGGGTGACGTTTCGAGCTAGCGCTCTTCGTCAGATCGTAAACTGCCAAAGTATCAAATTGCGGTTCAGATACGTCTATCTATCTACTGGCAGGGATTTCGATTTGAAGTTTTCCGAGGAAAGCCTTTGAAGACAACCGGGGGTGCTCGGAAACTGCTGTCCCCCTTCGCCCCGCTCGAGGGCCAACAGCTTGAAAACTGAATTTATAGTTTTAGGGCTTCAAAAGGGTTTACATTAAGTGGCTGAACCGAGTACTCATTTAACAAACGGACGATGTCGGACTTGTGGTCCTTCTATAAATCCAATGTCAAAAGAATTAGATGTGTGTGGGAGGGGGAACGGGAGTGCCCTGAGAAAATTCACTTTGAGTGGTTAGGCACCGAATAGTCTACCTAACCTGTGCCCGATTAAACTTGAAGGTTAACAAATTAGTGGAGGAGGAGGAAAATATGAAAGGCGTGAAGGTATGCTACATGGGTAGGGAATTCAACTTGCTACGATTGCATTGACGAAGGGGTTTCGGCTGGTGAATGAACTGTTTAGGGGTGGGTCTTCTTCGTCACTAGATGAAGGGCGACGGGAAAAGGAGAACTGGGTGTGGGGTTCGTCGGTTTTGGCGTTTGGCAGACATATCGGGTGTGATTGTCACGTGACTTGTTGGTTTGCATATTCAAAATAATTTTAATTACGTACTCAACATCTGCAGAATGAACTACTGGAGAGAAAATGACTAATAAATGTTTTACACCTCGAAATCAGAATATATAGGAATGACTCCTAAAAATACCTCATCAAGCAGTTGCATACTTATGGTAGATTACAAAGTCAAATTAAAGACTGAAAAATATACACACAAGATTCAAAATAACTCTAGATGAAGTATGTGTGCGAGTTTTAAATTAAACTGAATGTGACGTCACAGGGCACAAAGGCCTCGTCTCCGGTCTATCTACTAATAATTAGCAAGTATACAGACACTAAGTCTAACATTCTTGCTAAAGGGTTATTTTGACCGTAATATTGCAAATGACTAGGTGCGTATTATCTATGGTGATAAGGCAAATTTGAATCTCTTTTCGCAAAGATTAGAGAGTATTAATTGAGGAGCGTATTATATTCGGAAAATTACGATACTAATGCTGCGTTCTGTCAGGACTTGTTCTATCACCAAACGATGTTAAAAGTATGGGCAGAAAAGTTGTTAATAAAATATTAGACATTTGACTGATAACATCGAATCTCCAGAATGAGACAGCACATGGATCAAATGCCAAATGGAGCTAGTCTTCGGGCTGTTTCCTAATAATGACGATTATAGATTATTCAAGATTGGGAGTGATCTAGGTATTAATGTACAGATATACGGATCAAGTAGCGATGTGAAACTGCACACACACATTTCACACTTTCTGCTATGGGGATGTTATAACTAACACCAATGTCACTATTTGGTTAAGAATAATTGTATAGGCAGTGATCGCTTACGACTGTTTGCCTCTACCTCAGGTCAGCAGCTCAAAATTAGAGATAGGTGTCTAAAACCTTGGGCGTCTGGTCTGGCCGCTTAGCCTATTGTTGCATAACGTGATATTTAGGTTAAAATATCAAACACCAAAGATTATTTAATGGTGTTGCACCAAAGTAAGAGAAACAGTAACCTCCGCTAACGGAGGTTATGTTTTCATCCCTGTACGTGTGTGTGGTGGGGGGGGGGTGTCAGCAAGATTTCTCGAAAACGGCTGAATGGATTTAGGCAAAAGTTGTTATACACTTGTACTATGATCACTTAAGTGATTAGTTTTTGGAGGGTTAAGGTGAAAGATCAAGGTCATAGCAAAGCCGCATAAAAAATCCCTATCTGTTAACATAAGAACAGATTTTTTACACTTTTTTTTTGCTCTATAACTCAGTCAAAAATAATCAGATTTTGATGAAACTTGGTGGACTTGTGGAGAATATTATTCCTCAATGTCCTGCCAAAAATGGGCCGTATTCGTATTTTTGAGGGCCGAATACGATCAACGCTGCGTGGCGGAGGTATGCGCTCTACCTAGAGCCACTAATTATTATTAATTACAAATACTTTATCTTAATCTAAATGTAAACGAATAATTGCACGACTGGCCATGCTGCATTTCGGTAAACATCTCTAGCAAACTAGATTATGACAAGCATTACCTTTCTCGTGTTGTTGTTTTTTTTTTTTGTAGAGCTTTTAATTTTCAGCAACAATGTAGGTTACGTTGTGCATTTGTAAAATGATCTGCCGTAACTGGCGTAAAACTTCGTGTAAAAACCATCGTGCATACATTTACGCCTAGAGGATAGACGTATAACCTCTATATTTATTTGCAGACGTAACAGTATCGTTCTTAGTTTAAGCTAGTTGAGAGAAGTGAATGTTCATAACTAGAAAGGTACATCATAGTTTGGAATATCTTCAATTCTGATTACAGCTTCAACACTTTCACTATCACGTGTGTAGTAAATTCTCACTGCTAGGTTTGTTTGTTTTTTTATTAGATAAACGCACACAAACAAACAAACAAAGACGTTTGATATTTTATTATTTATCTGAACTTGGTAACTTTGATCGAGAATACACTTTCTCCATGGAAACACAAATAAACACCCATGGCAGTGCCTAGAGGGAGAACGTATGTACCACTGGCTGTGCCCTAGAAGAACACATGTGCTCATGGCAGTGCCTAGAGGGAGAACGTATGTACCACTGGCTGTGCCCTAGAAGAACACATGTGCTCATGGCAGTGCCTAGAGGGAGAACGTATGTACCACTGGCTGTGCCCTAGAAGAACACAATGTGCTCATGGCAGTGCCTAGAGGGAGAACGTATGTACCACTTGCTGTGCCCTAGAAGAACACATGTGCTCGTGGCAGTGCTTAGAGGGAGAACGTATGTACCACTGGCTGTGCCATAGAAGAACACATGTGCCTATGGCAGTAAAAGAATAAAAACATTAGATCGGACTAATAAATATTGCGTAAATTCGTAAAAATATATATAATTAATATTTTTTTACTGAATAAATCTATTCTTGGGAATACGCCAAAGTGGAAAGTAAACTCTTGGAATCGGTTATTTAAACATATAAAAAACAAGGAATGGGAAGTGCCACTAGCATCAGAATAAGACTTCACATAAGTAACTAACCAGCCATCGTAAGCCCACAATCCGCTGTAAAACGCAGTAGCTATATCAGAAAACGAGCTTGAGGTTCCTTCAAAGCCTTTATTAAAATGCTGGATATGTCCTGAAATTGAAAGATTATCTCAGTTTGCTTTTAAAAAAGAATTTTAAAGCATGTATAAAATAATAACTTATTGGAAAAGTTAAGGCACACTCTTAGCATGATCTTTATTATTACATAGATTCGAAGTTTTTATTAATTAAAAAAAACTATTCCTAATGTTCTCGTAGAGTCATCATTTGGCTTCACCGCACTTGGTTGTCATCTCATTAAATACTGACCCAACGTTTGTCATTAGGCTTATCTATGGAATCTGACATTCTACAGACAGGCAAATATTGTGCGTTTATCATTTTCGACCCCTTTTTAGAAGAAATAACTTAATATTTATATATTCAATGGATAAACAAGATAATTAGAAAACGAAAAACTTATTACAGTGATATCGGTAGAAATATTCACACGACATCTTTTGTCAAAATATACGCGGTGTTTGTAAAGGAAACAACTAAGGTAAGTACGAAAAGTACAGAGTAACAAAAGTTCGTGGTTTCGAAACGGAAGAAACCAGAAAAGTTGAAACGGAAAATAGGTGGCTATAAAAAAATAAGATTTTTAATTTCCTAGTTACATAAAAGAAGTATTTGACTACAACGGCAGGTAGATAACAAAGTACAAAGATTAGATGCAAATTTCTTATATTTTGCGTTGAAGCGGAGAAAATGAGTGATTGTTTATAATCAATATTAACTTTCGATCAGAACAAGCTACCTACTTAGAACGAAACTAAAATTCACCCTGGTAATGAAAATAACTTATTTAAATATTATTTTCTTACTTTCTCACTTATAAGTATTAGAATACATCGTTTCAAGTCTTGTTTTCCTACCTTGAGATAGTTTAACGGCTCCTCCAACGACAATAATGGCCACAGCTGAAAGTTTAGCTACTGTGCAAATGTTTTGGATTTGGGTAGCCAACTGAACACTGAAGCAGTTGATAAATGTTATAATGCCTAAAAAATATGAAAATATTAAACATTGTAAATCATGGTGTGAAATGAACGTGATGATACCTAGTTGATAAAGAAAATATCAACACACGATATTTTATATTGGTGCAATAAAAGAACGTGATGATATATAGTGGATAAAGAAAACATCAACACGATATTTTATATTGGGTGCAATAAAAGAACGTGATGATATATAGTGGATAAAGAAAATATCAACACGATATTTTATATTGGGTGCAATAAAAGAACGAGATGATATATAGTGGATAAAGAAAATATCAACACGATATTTTATATTGGGTGCAATAAAAGAACGTGATGATATATAGTGGATAAAGAAAACATCAACACGATATTTTATATTGGGTGCAATAAAAGAACGTGATGATATATAGTGGATAAAGAAAATATCAACACACGGTACTTCATATTGGGTGCAATGAAAAACGTCGTAATTTCTCTTCGTATTTATGAGTCAGAGCGCCCACTCAACTAAAACGTAATTAAGAAAAATAATTTTAATTTTCCAGTAATTTTGTACACTGTAAATTGGTGTGCTTTTACAATGTATAATGCTTATTTGGTTTAATTTTTATTAAATATTTGTAACATGTTTAAACTAATACATCAAGTTTCTCAACTATAAACAACATGAATATGAAATTTTATTTGATGGATTAGATTTATTTCTCCCAGCCAAATTAATATTTTTCAGTTAGCTTTGTTCTTTCAACTGTGAATACATTTGTAACACCCACAAAGTTCTTGAAAATTTTGAAAAAAGGCTATTGCCTTAAGCAAGTACTTCCTTGAATAACACTATTCTCATATTTAACGCTTTGAAGTGAACGATCAGTGTTCCGTGTGGAAGTTGGTTATACGTTTAAATTTTTTTTAATTTGGTATGGTCAACAGTAACGAATCAGCATTAAAACAAAGTTAAAAATACTCCCTCAAAACTTACAAGCCAGATGTTTTGTTTCTGATCTTTTTTACTGCTGATAATGTTTTTAATTTTATGGCAGTTGAAAAGCGAGAAGTATTATTCTATGAAAAGATATCGGGTGAGGATCTCCAAGTTTTACGTAAGTGAAGAAAGTATTTGCTAAGTTACAAAGACAGATTCCATCTTTCTTTTTTTAAAGGATTACAAACTTAACATTATTCGACTTTTTATAAACCTCAGCCTGACAATAATTTACTGAAAAACGATACGCACTATCGTAAAACTCCATGTAATTTCTTAACCGAAATTTCAAAGAAACAGAACTTACAGAAACGTTTAATGAAAGAATATTATACTTTTTTACGAGATTTTACTTGTGATTTTCAGTTACGTGAATTTTGCACATTTGTTTTATTAAGAGCAACCATAGTAAAGAGCTGAAGAAATACAGTCTTAACCACTATTAAAAATACAGACATTAATATATAATAGAGGAGCAAATGTGTTTAGATACATCTGACAAAAATATTACTTATCCGTTTGGTTGAACATTAACAGAGATAGAGAAAAATATTAAGGTGTGGTGGGTGGGTAAGGTTAGCTTTAGCCCCGAGTAAGAATGAATTTCATGATTACCTCAGTTCAATTATTAAAACAACTTAAGAACTGAAATCTATTCTACAAGTTGTGAAACTTTTAGTAGTTTAAGAACTCATAAGCAGCATTGACCTTAGAAGTATGCATTCATATAAGTTTGGAAGAAAACCTTTTAGCAGGAGCAAGGAAAAGATATATAAATATGATAATTTCCAATCCTTAATGAGATTTATTACTAAACCATATAAAATTAAAGTTGTTTTGATTCCAGTTAGAAGACACTATATTGAAAAAGTTACAGATTGTCAGTGACACTGTAAAGTTCTCTAGCTTGATCAAAGATTATACAATCACAAAAGAAAATTAGATAATTAATAGATTTGGAAAAACGAAATACCATTAATAACAGGGCCTATAACAATATTATACTAGTGGGATCTCATGCAGGTCTTTTCTAAGGCTTAAAGATACTCAAACCTGGTTGTCCTAATTGACCTATATAGTGTCTAATATAGGTTGTTTCTACTATAATGTAGCTAAATGTTCAAATTATTTTATTTAATACAGTTCACTTGTAACATTTACACCCTACAACATAGTATTGAATTCTCAAATAAAGTAGTTAATATGAGGTTTGATAAGTAATTATAGCTGTGGACGCCCGCAGAAGGGGCAAGAGGGGGGCATCTGCCAACTTACGTTTCACAAAAAATTGCTCGTATTATGATGTAAACTTGACATCGCAGTTAAACTAAAAAGTTTTAGTAATTTATGTTAAATTGTAAGTTTGTGTTTAAATACACAATACATTCTTCCAGTCTGTTGACTTACATTGTAAAAGCTGATCTCCTACATGCATGGTTTCCCCCCTCCCCGAAATTATTTCTGTGGGCGCCCATGTTTATAGCTAGTCTATATATTAAGTCTTTATTCACGAACTTTATTTCTTATCATGGCTAATGTGTTAAGGTGTTTTCAAGAACAAAAATTGGTAAATTACTTTGCTTCTAAGTTTAAACCACGTGTGTATAACTGTCACGTGTATGCTACATTTGTGATTTTTAAAAACGAAGACTAGATGAACTTTGTCGACTATATGAATGGTCAACATAATAACATAAGCTTCAACAATGAATAGCAACAGGTCTATTTTACCTTTTATGGACACCATTGTTTACAATAAGCTTGGAAAGTTGGATATTACAGCATATCACAAACCAACATAAATGGACTTTATTCACAATTAAATAGCTATATACCACACTATTATAAAGAATTATGATATACCGTATTTACATTATTTGCGTCAGTTTTGAAAATATATTGTTTTCGATATACTTTTTTTTTCAGGGGTGATTGTGAAAATGACTAAACAATTTACGTCTTAGCAATTAAATTCTGATGTCTCAAAACTGCCAATGCGCTTAATTCTACTGTATACTGGTGTTCACCACAGTCAAATCAGACTGAAATTAAACGTCGTTACAAGGTGGTTATCCACAAATCGAGTTAAAACGTGTGTTTAAAAAAACAAAACTAATCACTTAAGGATAAACATTTTTTCTTCCTTAACAACCCTGTTTAATTTATGAATACTATTGCTCAACATTTGAGGTCGCTTATATCGGTTCCACAACAAAAAACTAGAGGAACGTATAAAAGAACAAAGTGGTCCAAAGTCTAAAAACAATTCAAGTAATTTTCAACATACGCTAACTAATTAGGATGTGTTGTGGGCTGAAAGCAAACGCAGAAAATGAGACATTGTTAAAAATAAAGGAGACTTCTGATTTGGCACAACAAGCCAGCTTTGAATAACATCAAAATGCTGCAGAACCTTTATTAGTAGTTTAAGGCATTTTTAAATACCTAGGCTTAGCAAGTATAGTAAGTTAGACATGCAACGACGGCAAGTTATTTAGATAACCCAAATCCTTCTTCTACTGAATATATTGTCAGTTATTGTATTCAAACGGCACACATAAAATACAAGAACTTGTGCTACAACACCTACTATCTGTATAGATAACGGTAACGCCATTTTGAATGGTGAGGTCACTGGTCACGAATAAATATTTTAGCATTCTCACTATGCTTGTATGATGTATACCTAACTGCTTCAATCGGAAGAATAAACGTTTTAATGAATATCAAAAAAAGTTCAAATCGATTTTATATATCTAAAATTCAACTTTCTGGTAAACAATACAAAAATTAAAAGGAAACGAAGTATTTTATTCTTTTTACAAAACAGTTTGACAAAAATTCGAAATATTTAAGCTCAAAATATATACATATACTAAACACTATTTAGAAATTTTAACCAAGTTCCATACAATTCTGGTGCACATTTTCATTTGAATAACGTAAAAGACCAGTGGGCATTTTTTGTACCTCATGGTCCAGAAAGGTAGAAGCGGATTAAGGCGATTGATACTGGGGCTAAAAAAGGCTCGTTATGAGGTTTAGTTGTTTTTAACTTAGTTTTTAGTCGCGATCGTTATAGACCCGGTAGAAAAATTTTGCTCCAGGCCTGACTAACCCTTTATTCGCCCCTGGAGAAATGGATATAATGTGAAAAACAACAGACAAGTAAAGGGGCAGAACAAAACTAAATGAAGAAATATACAAGATAAGTTGTACTATAAAGAATAATTACGATAAATAAAATAAATTGTGTTTGATGTAAAAAATAAAAAGTGGTAACTTTTATGCATATGAAGAAATTAAAGTGTATTAGTGGCTGTATTTAAAAAATAACAAATATGTTAAACTTGTGTATGCGAGAGAGACTTAATATAAATACACTAGCCAATGGAATGAAAAAAAAATCAATAAAATTATGAGAGATTGTTGGTTGCAGGAAAACTAAAATAAATGAGTATACTAAAAGTGAAAAATGTAATACGTGTTACAGAGAAGTTAGATGTGATAAAATAGTATGGCAGAGAAATCAAAATACAAAGTACATTTCACAAGTCGTCGAACACATAGAAACCAGTTTACACCAAATAACTCATGGGAAATTATAAAATTATATCTTACAGTAGAAAGCTCTGTCTTACCTATAGCTAATATGGTTACAAGCTTTACCAGTAGAGGATCAGGAGAGCATCCAACAGAAAGTGGGCCTACAACATACTCGCCAAAGCTGAGACAAATAATAGCAAGCATAGAAGGCTTCAATACGAATACTGAAACCCACGAAAAGAGATAAGCTGGGATGGGGCCGAAGGCTTCTAATAGGTAGGAATACTCCGCTCCAGATTTTGTTATCATTGTCCCTAATTCGGCATAGCATAAAGCCCCTGGAATAATAAACAATTAGCGCATCTTTCGCTTGCATGATAATATAACTTAGTTCAAAGATTTATATTAATTACAGACTAGAAATATTTACCTAAAAGTGATAACAACCCACAACCAGTCCATACAAGCAAACTCATTCCTACCGATCCCGATCTTTGTAGAACACCTTTCGGAGAGACGAATATTCCGGAACCTATAAAATAATTACCAGATTCAACACTAGGGTTTACAGTTAGTAGTGTACTTCAATACATTAAAGTAAGAAAATATTTCAAATAGTGGAAAATAAGCTTGGATAAGTCAAATAAATCTCAGTAAACACGTTTTGATCATTAAATCCGATTAAGTCTTGGATAAGTTGTGTATTTAAGGTTTAAAAATAAATTAAGTTTCTTGTAAATAAGCAAATTGGAATTTTATCATAATTAACGTAAAATAATATAGCGATAAGAACTGCGCTGACTACATATTTAAAACCGATGAGAAAAATCCTCGTGGTAAAAGCAATTTACATTCTGGTAAGTTCGCCATGTCTACCAAAGCAGTACACGTACAAGGTATATTACCAAATAACACCCATAAAGACTGATTATACTGCGGAAGCTAAATCAATTTCCAAGTATGCCACATACACGCAAGAGTACGTATTTATGGCTATAATTGATAAAACAAACAGTTGAGCATATGTGCCAATAAACCGAAGTCATACAAACTTCCTACACGAGCCAGCGACATTTCCGGTTACACCATATTTGTGCCATATAACCATACAAAGAAAAAAGAATCTTAATTGGTTGATTGTGTAATTTTGTTTACTTGAAGCTTGAAAAAATTTAGTGTTTCTCGACCATGATATTGCTTTAATTAAAAAATAAATAAAAATGATTAATTTGGAACTGTTTCTATGAATATAGCATATTGCAAAAACGAGCAAAGATTTTCAGCCAGAAGTTGCGTGGTAACGTAATTTAATTTATTTTAAAAATGTAAAAATTTCTCGATAAAAATAGTTAACCAAGAATTTTCAATGATCAAAAGAACTACAGATTTATCAAAAGCAATAAAAAAATTATTTCACGTCAAGAAGAAATAACTAATTACCGCATACACTAAGCCAAGTAAGTTGCCTGTCGTTGTTTCCATAACAGAATAATTTTTTTCATAATTATTTTGAATAAAAAAAACATTATATTTACGTTATTTTATCCATTACGATTTTATGAACACTGAAATATTTAGTTGCTTTTAACTGTGCGAAATTCAGAAATAAACAACTGTCAAACAATAATATCGATTAATATTTCCTGGAGTGTCATCAAAAAGTCTAAATCCAAATAATTAAAAAAAAAGTTGTATGTAAAATCTATTTACAAATTCTTCACTACTGTTAGCTATTCTGTATCTAAGCATAAATAGTAATTACAACAAGCAAGATATTTTGAAGTCATAAATGAATATATTTACAAAGAATTAAAATTTTAGGACTATTATCGAAGTATACATTTTCTTTTTATTAATATTGTTTCTCATAATTCACCCCTTGTGGTTTAACAAGCTTTGACGAAGATACAAACAAACCTACCAAATGTTTTAGCTCAAGAATAAAGATTTGTCATAAATAGAGCCACGATTATTTTTTTTTTTTTAATGTGAACACAATGATGTGCAAAAATATTTAAACAGTTACCAATCATTGTTCCAACAATAAGAGACGCTCCACTCATCAAGCCTATTCGCCGCTTAAGACCAATACTGCCCTCTGGTGTTTGACGTTGATTATTAGAAGAGACCATTGGATTAAAAGAGGCGTCACTAGCAGAATGTAATGTTGAAAGGGCGTTTCCGTTGAGGGAGTGAGATACTGTCAAAATATACCATCTTTTACTATTTTGATTAAAATATTTCGTTATATGTTTTCTAATTTTGTAAAAAACTAAATAAAGCATTTTGATAATGTTACCAAAGCGAAATCTTTTTAAATATGATGAAATATAATGTTTATTTGTTGTATTCTGTTTATTACCCTAGGCATATTCATACAAATATTTCTAAATAGCCTCCATAAATATTTCCTCAAAATGACTTATTCAAATGGTTCAGTGAGTAGTTCATGCAACTAGTCCGTTGGAGAGTGGTACTTACACATTGGAAACTAAGGAAATAAAACAACCATAAGGGTAAAGTTACTTTCCTCAAGTAAGATGTATAACAATACTTATGTTCATGTTTCACTATTGCATATTCTGGCAAACAATTATTTGAATAGAGCTTTTCATTGGTAGTGTCATTTATATGGACGTATTATCCAAACTACGAAGCTAAGTTGAAGTCATATTCCAAGTCTTTAATATAACAATTATTTTTAATTACTACTTTTCAAAGATTTTTTTTTTTTTTGTATTTCACAAACTTCTCGGGAGGTAGAGGTTGATAGATGAAACAGTATAAGAACCACTTCTTTAAGCTTACTTTTAACTTTGATCAAGTGTATGCAATAACATGTTTTACAGGAATATACTGCCATGCTCAACTCTTTATATTGAAAAATAGCTTTTTGTTTTTATATCATCATCATCTCTGTTTTTAACATTAGTTGCTTCACGGCGTTTTTTTTTTACAGACTTCATTATGCATAAAAAGTTCGCAAGAAAAAATGGTCCGTGACTGTTCTGATCCATTCCTTACAGAGTAAATCATCTGGCAGTGAGCAAGTAAAATTCATTATGGAGGACCCAACCAGTTTTAAGCCTTAATATCAAAATGGTCAAAACCCGAAATAAAAAAAAAAAAACACTTAGTGACTGCGAAAACTATTTCACCTAAACAAATGAAAAAAATACTTTAATCAAAAATAGTGCTGCATTTTACAGAAACAATTCAGAAGTTGCGAATTTATACTTATGCATTACGAGATTTTTTCTAATACTATGATTATTAAAAGTTTTTTTTTCATAACGAAATATTGTTTTACACTGTTATACAGTACATACATGTACCCCAGAGCATTGGATCTAAACTAAGATCTACCAATCAAATAAACAACTTAGTTTTAACTTCACCCTTAGCAACAGAAATTAAAGCAGCACTCTCATGTTTGGCGTGATTAATGGGATGACGATTGTTGAGATCTATGGTTACAATGTACACAGACCAGACACTGCAAAAATTATATAAAAATTAATGTTTACGATCGATACGAGTATCTCGCGAAATAAGTCCAAACAGTAAATCACTTGGCATTTTTTAAAAAAAGATGTAACATTTTCTTGTATATTTAGCGATTAGAATTTATCAAAGGAAAACTGATTAATTTCATTGAAATTCTATGGAAATGTGCCCTACATCCTAAGATATTTCATCTTTAATAGCGGAAAATTTGAACTCCCTTTTGACATTATATCTTTATTGGCAGAAAGCTTCAGTTTGCTTTTCATAACGTTTTATTATTATTTTTTTTTCCTGTTTACCATTACTTTCCTCTACTTAGTGCTGAATGTATGTTACTAAAATTTTGTTTTACTGGTGTGTGTTTTTTCTACTTATCTATTAATATTCAAGTTGTTAAACCAATTATGTTCGAAAATAATTCCACACAGCTGTTTATTAAGGAAATGACATTGTATAAGGTTGATATATAAGGAATGAAATAATTACTTTAAACATTTTACAGAATTAGGAGTATTCCCAAGTAGGTGGACCGGGTGTGTCTTGATGGTCAGCGTGTACGGTCTGCGAATCCAAGGATTTGTCAGTTTACGTCCCGTTATCTCAAAATCGCGCTGGTACTTTTGGTGAAGTGGATGAGCTACAAGAGTGACGGTAAAATCTCACTATTCGGGCAGGTATGAGTAGCCAAAGAATTGGCGGTAGATGTTGCTGCCTTCCTTTTAGTCTATCAGCTGAAAATGAGCGGCGGCTAAGTGCAGATAATCTAAGGTCATCACACGTCCCGATTTCGTCGCAACAGTCCCGTTTTTGAGTAGCTTTTCCCAGTATCCCGAGAACTTTTCTCGGGGCGCATAAATCGGCCCGATTTTATGATAAAGACATCAAACCGTCAGTCACATCAAATCACGAATGTAATAGGTCTGTTTGACTTGCTCATTGTTATAACACGGACACTCCTATCGCTAAACTCTCTCGAAAGTTCCGTCTGTGATTGGTAGGAAAACCCAGGTCTGGACAGGTCTGAATGTAGAGCAATTAAGGCAGTGCTCGTGTTCAAAACACACTTTACACAGTCATGTAAGGAATTTTATGACTAGGGAAGAAAGAATTTCTACCTTCCATTCATTCTTCACAAAAATATGTCGAAGAAGTTTGAAAGTAATGCTAAAACCTAAAAGTAGTATGCTTGAAAATGTAACGGATTCTTAAATAAATCCAGGTATGAAGTAGCCTATTTTAAGATGAATTGAATAAAGTGCATAAATAAACATTTCTTGAATGTATAATTTAATTATTTTTGCTCATTTGTTTTGTGTCTATCACCAAAAAAAAAGTAGTTGAAATGATTTCAAAAACAATGCCAATGTTAATATATTTGGAAATTTTGTGGAACAGTTCAATAAATTTGAAGCAAATTAAATAAACGATGAGTTATTTCAAAGTTGTAATAACCATTTCAAAATTAGAGGCAAGGGCTAGCCTGTCTTAGTTTTTTGGCTTGGAAATCTGGTCACCATAAGATAATTGATCCTTCGTACAGCTTTGGACGAAGCTTTTTAAACAAATATTTCGCAATCGGTTGTGATAATTCTTCCACAGAAAGAAATTATACATTTTTTATATAGAGAGCGTATTGTGTCAACATATTTTTGAAAGTGGGAGTGACAAAATATCAACCCTCTTAAGGTTGTGTGCAGTTTTATTATTATACGAAACGACGTGACCTGTGGTTTCTGCATGTGAAAGGATAGCCGAGTGACTGGGTCTGAGTAATGGATGGCCGGCCTTACTGGATTAGTTTTTAAGTGGTTTTGTTTCTGTGACCTAACACTCACCACACATGAACTTTATATAAGAGCAATGAACGTAGGATTACCAGTATTCGATCTTTATATAATGAAGTAAATTATAAAAGGTGAAGGGTAGGTTTAAAATTAGTCTGAGCTGAACATGAGAGTATCTATATCAAGGAAGAGAACTGTTTATAACTTACATGGGAAAAAATGAGAACGCTATCAATGTTTCAGTTGTCAAGTTGAAGCAACGTAAAGAAGTTTATGTTACAACCAGACAAAAGTTTACATTCAATTACCTCTGAACCTACATTAGAACATTTTAAAATGACCAATTAAACGCCAAAATTTCCAATAAGCTACTTTTTACAACAACATATACCAATAAATATTCCCATATCTAATACAACTAAATCTCCAGGATATTACAAAAATGCGATAATCAATTACATAAAAGAAGTGATAACAAATCACTTTGTATTCAAATCATTGAAAATGGTGATAAAGAACGTACCAAGAAACAAGTAATTAATCACAAGTAAAATCTTCAACAAAAATAGTTCCTGGGGACCGGTAGGTTACGGTCCCTTTTTTTACACTGCAGCAAATAAAATATTTATTAATTTAAAAAAGGAACGAGTATTAAGCATTTAGCCTTAGAGATTAATTAAACCAATTCCTGTTGCTTGCGGTGATTTAACAGGAAAATTCACACATGCGTAGTAGTGGCTGTGATTTTTGGAACCTTTGAAGATCCAAGAAATATCCTTCGAAAGACAAAGAATTTTTTAAAATAATTATTCTAAATCTACTGAATGTTACACAATGTATTTCTACATCTGTAGTACTGATTTCATGTAAAACAAGGTTTCTGGCATTGCTGAAAACTGTTTCAATAAGTCAATTCCCAGCAGCACTCGCTTCAATAAATTTTGGGGTGCGAAGCACTAAGCCTCTAACAATATATGCATACATATACACAGCCGTTTGTATACATAAAACATAAAAATCTTAAAACGCTATATTCAGTGCTCTTCAGAGAATACATCAAGGCACACTGTAGTGTGTCGTGCGGTCAAAACAACCTGCAGGACACACAGTGTTGTTAACAGGAGTGATAGTTCAGAGATTTTCCACTTTCTGTAGCTTGGACTTCGATAATACAAACTGTCACACATTTTCAGTGGATGTGATCTACTGGACCCTTACTTCACATACCAAATTTCAAGGTAATCTATTAAGAAATACACGAGATATAAAATCTCCAATTTTAATTGAAGTTCTTCCTATTTTTTTCTTCGCATCAAAAGTACGAAAACTTTATTTGATAGAAAAACATAGTTAACTTTCATGGATTTTTTCTTTCAAATTCTGTACGCTGATAAATCTTACAACCGACAATTAGGTGTCAAATTTGGTCTAAATATTTCGTGTTTCGTCTCATTAAATGTTTGAAAACGGTATTGCAGCGTTAGATTTGGGTAAATTTTATTCGCCATCTTGTAAGCTTTGGTTATACCTAAAAAGATAGATTAATAGCAACAAGTCTATATTTTGTTAATTTCAAAATTGCATCGCCTTCTCTAAGCTACACAGAATGTATTTTAAACATTATCATTAAATTAATCCTCAAACCTATAAACTCCTCAAATATCAATCTTTATCCATTCTACTAATTTCAGTAACACTATTATTATTTGTACATTAACTACATACGTATTTCAGTTAATTACTCCCGAATTGTCAACATCTTATTTAACACCAACAACGATATAATTATGAAGGACACATTACACTATTGGAAGTTTGCCAAATGTCCCTAGACCTTTCTTTCCCCACCAGAGCGGAATGAGAGCCGAGTGCCTGTTCCGTTTTAGTCACGAATGAACATTTGAGCTTT